TTGTTCTAATGGTGTTTGTAAATAGGATCACAAGTCCGCATCTTGTACAGCAATTAACCACTAAGAAGAATATATGCAGTGTATTATTTGTTGAAAAATAAAAAAATAAAAAAAATTTCTCAAAAACATGAACTAAAAATTGTGTTTCAAAGAAGCACGTTATGCCTCAAAAAAAAAAAAATAAAAATAAAAATAAAAAATGGTTTTTTGGTGGTACCAGGGATCAAACTCAGGACCTTGCACTTGCTAGGCAAGCACTTATTCCACTGAGCTCTCCCCGTGGCCCCTTACATAAAAAAAAAAAAAAAAGAAAGAAGTCTTACATCACTCCCCAAAAAAATAACTGTCCTGAAATACTATTAGGTGATGAAACTGACCAGACAGCTGTCTTCATCAGGAATGCCCTTCGTATGAAGGTGGGGCTGGAGTTTGCACAGCCAGTCACTTTCACAGACATTATCGTGGCAACTGTTGTCTGACTCAAAAGACAGGTTAATGCACGAGTTAAGAAGCCTTCAGCTTTAAAAATTACCTTCCAGTTGTATGCACAGGTACATAGATATAAAGCACAAATTCCATGTTTATGATGTGCTCAAGTACTTCGAAATTGGATAATAACTGACATGCAAAATCGACCCCCAGCATTTCAGGCAGGGGTACCCAATCTGTGTAAGCTCGGAGGACTTGGCTCCAGCATCTCAGACTGACAGCTCTGCAGGGGCCTGCCCACATAGATAAGGATTTGTCTTTTACTCAGAGACACACCAAACTCGGATAAGTCAGCTTTCCCTCAGCTTCTAGTGAAAACAGTCAGCCCTATGAGGCAAGAAGCAGAACGCAACTATTCCAGTAGGGCTGCAGCTAAGCCACGAGGATACTGCAGGCAACAGCGAGCTGTAGTACAGCACGTGCAGCTGCACAACCCCTGCGAACCCCTCCCTTCAAAGCCCACTCGCCTCCTCCCACCCCACCCTCCTACCCTACACTCTTCACCATCACAGCAGCACTCACTGCCCTAGCACATCTAAAGCCTCCTCCACACACACTCCCACCCCGTGTCCCTGATTGTTTCCAAGGTAAAGGATCTCGGAAACAAACAATAAGAACCCACAACCTGGAGAACAGTGAATGAGGACACTATCCGCAGAGGGCTGTTTCTTCCAAATCCAAATCCCTGCTCCTAAACCACCTTTCTCCAACTCTGTTCTTGTGTCTATAATCCCAGTTATTTGGCCAACTGAGTCAGGATTGAGTTCAAACCCAGCCTGGGCAACTTGGCAAGATCCTGTCCCAAATTTTGGCCAAAGGCGGTGGCCCATGCTGTAATCCCAGCACTCAGCAGGATGAGCAAAATAATCACTTCAAGTTGGAGGCCAGCCTGGGCAACATAGCGCATTCAAGGCCAGCCTGAACTATAGTAGTAAGAGCATGTTTCCAAAGGAAAGGGGGGAGGGCTGATGAGATGGCTCAGTGGTCTAAAGCACCTACTTAGAACAAGCTTAGCAAACCAGAGACCGCAGTTCGATCCCCCAGCACCACATGCCAGCCAGCCCCGCCCCCTGGTGGGCTGAGCTGGCCACACACACACACATACACAAAATAAAAAATTAAAAAAAAAAAAAAACCCCACAAAGGAAAGGGGGCCTGAATCAATACCAAAGACATCCACATTCCCACACTGTGGCACCCTTCCCAATAGGCAAAACAATAACCCAAGTGCCCATTAACTGACTACTGCACATTCACATGTCCTGTGTACATAATGAATTTTTTTTTTTTTTTTTTTTTTTGGGCAGAACTGGGGATTGAACTCAGGCCCTTGTGTTTTGCCAGGCAAGTGCTTATTCTACTGAGCCATCTCTCCAGCTCATAATGAAATATTGTCTAAGTCTAAAACATTGTGCTGGGGCCGGGGAGATGGCTCAGTAGGATAAGTGCTTGACTGGCAAAAGCAAGGATCTGAGTTCAATCCCCAGTTCCACAAAAAAAAAAAAAAAACATTGTGCTAAATGACAAGCCAGACAATACATGACAACACTTATACGTGGAACTCAGGATTATAGGGCTGCAGAGTGTAGCTCAGCGGTAGAACAAATGTTGTCTGTATGCAGAAGTCCTGAGTTTACTCCCCTGCACCACAAAATAACAGATCGTTCTTCAAAATTGCTAAGGATTATAAATGTTCTCAAAGTACACGAGGTGACATTAACTAGTCCATTTGATCATTACACAATGCATACAATGCATCAAAAACATGGTATTGGACCCCATTGAAGTTTAGACTGAGACTAGCAGCGTGAAGATACCTGAGCCTCTGCTACACTTAAAGGCAGATTCAATGTCTCCCAGGAACTCCTGTCACTAACCACCTCAGCCCCAAACCCAAATTACTGGAACCTAATCAGGCTCCGCACATGAGGGAGGAAAAGCTGGGAAGAACGAAGAGCTAACCCAAGGGAGGAGGCCACAGGCCTGCAGCACCTCTCCACTCACAACCTACCCTCATTTTCCCCCCTTATTCTGTCTCTGTAGGTGGGACACTTTCAAGAATGGGCTGGGGATAGGGCTCAGCGGCACAGCGCCTGCCTGGCAAGCACAGGGTCCTGAGTTCAGGATCCCAGTTGAGTCTGGTACTAATTCCCAAAACCAAAAACAAAAAAACGGCAAATTGTAGACAGAGCATCACTACAAGTCAGATCTACTCAGCACAAGTCCAATCACTGCAAGTCCGATCTAACCTGTACACCCTGTCCTACAAAAAAAACCCACCATGGTGACCCTCTTTGAAAGGACAAGAGGAAGCTCTTCTTGAGCACTGCCTACGGAGGTGGCAGCTCTCTCCAACTCGGCACCATGGCAGCCCAAGATCCTCAAAGAGGACCAAGAAATTCATCCAGCACCAGTCAGACTATCAAAATCCTCAACTGGCAGAAACCCAGAGGCAGCAACAGGGTGCAGAGAAGGTACAAGGGCCAGATCTTGATGCCCAACATAAGTTATAGAAGTAACACAGGTGCTGCTGATCTGCAGGAAGTCTACTGCCCAGATGGCCCACGTCTCCCTCAGAACTGCAAGGCCACTGTACAAACAGCAATCCAGCTAGCCATCCGAGTCACCAACCCCCACGGCAGGCTGCGCAGTGAAGAAAACAAGTCAACAGCCTGTGCCTGTGCATGTTCATTTGTTTCAGTAAAACCACAAAAACTGAAAGAAAAAAAAAGAAAAAAAGCAATCCAAACTGTTGCTAGGCACCAAAGCAACACACCTACAGCCACAGCTACTGGGCCTGAAGATAGCTACAGCCCTGGAGTCCAGGGTCAGCCTGGGTAGTACAGCAAGGCTCCCGCTGGAAAGAAAAAAGGAAAAGCAGCAAATGGTGAAGGGACTCTAGGAGCATCGTTCAATGGTGCAGACCAAGGGCGTGGCTCGGGAGGACTGGCTTCAACCACAAGCATCAAAATAAATAATGCAGCCAGGCGCAGGGGCGCACACCTGTAACCCCAGCTACTACGAAGACAGCATATGCCCCAGATATGCCTATTTAGCAAAACCATATCCCAAATTAAAACTTAAAAAGCAGTTTTCAGGAATTAAACGATGGCTGGAAGCCAAGTGTGCTGGCACATAACTGTAATCTCAGCACTCTGCTGAGCCAGGATAATCACAAATTCAAATCCAGCTTGGTGGATTTAATTTAGCAAGTGCCCATCTCAAAATAATACAAGGGGGCTGAGGATACAGCTCAATACAAAGCTCCTAAGTTAAAACCAAGTACCATATTAAAAGAAAAAAATAAAAATACTGGCATACCAGTCATCCTGGCACTCTGGAGGCTCAAAGTTAGTTCAAAACCAGCTTGAGCTACGAGCTCAAGGACAACCTCCAGTATGGAGATGGCAGAGACAGACTTCAACCTCCACTTGTAGCAGATCTGGCACCTACCACCAAACCCTAGGACAAAACTGTAAGAGGGCCAGCGAGATAGCTCAGCGGACTAAACACCTGTTTCGGCAAGTGCAGGGACCAGGGTTCAATCCCCAGTACCACATGCTGCACCAGCCCCTCCCCTGCAGCACAGTCAGCAACCAAGTACAGGCAAGGTGCTACCTCTGCACTACATAGTGAGACCTTGTACCAAACACATAAAACAAAAACTGCAAGAGGAAAATACCTTAAGAGACCACTGCGGCTGGTCAAAGGAGCAAGATCAAATAACACGGGCAGGCAGATAACTACTGCCTCAGCCTTGGTCCATAAGGTAGGGTTCTCATTTGTACCAAGCTCACTAAGCTAAACCAAAATATTGCCTGGGCTACTCTGAACACATCCAAAAACAGGTAACAAGACCCTTTCTGCAAGGGAGAAAGAAGCTTACTTTTTTTTGACTAAGATTTGCCTACCTCAAATCACCAGAAATCCAAGGAAGCACGCTTAGCAAGCACACAGCTCAAGGTTCAATCTCCAGCCAAAAAAACTAAGTGGTGAGCCTTCCAACAGCAAGCAGAGCATTCTCCCAACTATGGATCTCGGGTACATTCCCAAGCCATGGCATTTGTCTTACAAACGACATTATAAAGTGTCACAATAAAAACCTTCTCTGGGTGGGGCTGGGGGTACAGGTCAGTGGCAAGAATGTCATCTGCATAGCCAGGCCAGCCAAAGGCCCTGAGCTTGCTTTCCAGCACCAAAAAAAAACCAAACTCCTTTGCTCTTTTTTTTTTTTTTTTTTTTGGGGGGGGGTGGATTTTGTTTGGAGACAGGGTCTTGTGATGTAGTTCAAGTTGGCCCCGGAACGTCAGCAACCCTCATCTGTCTCCTCAATGTGCCACCACAATTCCCTATGTAAAATTGGCTGGCAGGTTATGGACAAATACACTAAACTCAATTCTTTAATTTAGTACAGGGTCTACAGGGTCTCATGACACAGATCAGACTCACAGTGATTCTATTTTCAGCCTCCCAAGTGCTGGGATTGCAGGTGCATGCCACCTTGCCCAGTCTCCTAAACTCAATTTTATAAGTGAAAAGAAAGCAAGTCTTTGGGGGTCAGGACATACACTAAAGTCCCTTATAACTCACTGACCTTCATCCTTCCACATCACTCAACATCTTCGCAGTTTCACTCTGTAGTCACATGGTGGGCCAACACATATACCGTGAGAACAGCTTCCCAACCTCACCTCTCCCCAGTCACAAGGATCCAATCTCTCACCTCTCCCCAATCACAAGGATCCAATCTGAGAATCTCAAAGATAACTACTTTAAGCCCCTTAGATATTAGGCAGGATTAGAAAGGGATCTGCTAGACAGACCAATCTCCCTGTAGCAGGTATCTACTCAAGCTTTACCCCCTAAAACCTACACAGCAGCACTGTGTAGGCACACCTCTCTCTACCTTTCCCCGCAATCTTCTCCCCTTTTCAGCCATCTCCAGTCATTCCCCCAGTTAGCATCCTATTTAGGACTAAAACTGTTGGGA